CCAAGAACTCCTGAGCTACCGCCGACGTCTCGCCCGCTGATGGAAGGTTGAAATCCCCCAAGACCATAAGTCTGGGGGTTCCAACCGCCACCCCGGCTATTACGTCAGCCAGCTCAGGCAGGGCTGTTGATACATAGCAGGGAGCCAGGTATATAATCAACAAGCCCACTTGAACCCCTTGCCCCCATTTCACAAGGAGAAATTAGGGGCCCCTGATCTCTTTGGAAAGAATGCCTTTAAATCCAACTTTCCAGGTCTATTTCCTAATCAGTGTTAGGGAATATTCTTTCTTGTCCCCCAAAGAAGGGAGATAGGGTGGCTGTCATCAGAGCGAAGGGGTGTGTGTGTGTTTCTGTGTGTGTCTGTGTGTATTTTTGTGGCCCCAGAAGGTGGGAGCAGAACCCAGGGGGCGGGAGGGGGGCAATTCAGATTGGACACCAGGAAGAATCTCCTAACTTGGGAGCGGCTGGCCGGGGAAACAGGGCTGCCCCATGAAAAGAGATTTGATCTTCCTTCACTCGAGGGCTTCAAAGATGACATTGGTCATCGGCGGAAGGGAAGTTGCCTTCAGAAGTTGTGGCTGCTCCATCACTGGAGGTTTTTCAAGAATCCAGGCGTTTATCCAGGGTGTCTGACCTTGGGAACTTTAAGCCTTGTGGACTTCAACTCCCAGAATTCCCCAGCCAGCACATCTGTGCTGGCTGGGGAATTCTGGGAGTTGAAGTCCACAAGGCTTAAAGTTCTAAGGTTGGACACCCCTGATATAGAGTCTCCTGCTCTAGCAGGGGGTTGGACTAGATGACCTCCACGGTCCCTTCCAACTCTCTTCTTCTCTAGTCTGTCAGAGATGCTTCTCAATCTCAGCGACTGGAAGATGGATTTCAATTCCCTGAATTCAAGGTTCTGGTGGATACTCCGTAAGCAAGGGGTTTGATTAGGTGACCTCTGGAAGACCCTCAAACTCTTAATTCTGTGTTCTCTCCGGGAATTCGGCTTGCCGGGAAGAAGGATTTTACAGGTAGTCCTCAACTTACAGCCATTCGTTTAGTGACTGTTCAGAATTACAACGGCACGGAAAAAAGTGACTTAGGACCGTTTTTCACACTTAACGACGGTTGTGGCTTCCGTATGGTCACGGGATCAAAATTCAGACGCTGGGCAGCGGACTCACATTTATGACGGTTGCAGTGTCCCGGGGTCACGTGATCCCCTTTTTGCGACCTTCTGACAAGCAAAATGGCATAGGTTCTCCTGCTTGAGCGGGGGGTGGACTAGAAGACCTTCAAGGTCCCGTCCAGCTCTATTCTATTCTAAAAAAAAAACCTGGGGGAAGCCAGATTTGTTTAGCAATCGTGTTGCTAACTTAACGACGGCAGAGGTTCACTTAACAACTGTAGCAAGAAAGGTCGTAAAATGGGGCAAAAGTCACTTAACAACTGTCAGGTCCCCAAAGAAAATGGTTCTGCTCTTTTCTGCAGCCTCTCTTTGTGGCCTGCCATTCTGCTGGGAGGGGGGGGTTCTTTGGGGATGCTTTGCACTGCCTGCTTCATTGCCTGAGGAATTCTGGGAGTTGAAGTCCACCAGTCATCAAAGGGCCAAGTTTGAAGACCCCTGCTTGTGGACTTCAACTCCCAGAATTCCTCAGCCAGCGGGCCCTCTTGTTTAACAACAGAAATCTTGGGTTCGGCTGTGGTGGTGTTAGAAGTAAGTCTTCATCCTGGTTCATCCAAGCCGGGAATAAATAAGCAAACATGGCGACTGCTTTGGGAAGAAGGTTACAGTTTATTGCAGAAGGCAGATGGTCCTTGCAAGAAGCAGCAGAGGAGAAGAAAAAGAGGGGGCACATGGGCAGAAGGTCTTTTTATACCCTCTAGCCCTGCTTGGAATAGTTTCCTGTTCCTGTGGCATGAACTTTGAGGCTATTTCTGAGTGTTTTTCTAGGCTTTGATATCTGTGGTTTAATCCCATTATCATATCCTGCTTCCCAGGTGATGGGGCTAGTGACTCTTAAGAGCTTGGGTGGGGTATGCAGATTTTCTCTTTGTCTTCTTGATTGCTCTGGCTTCAACTTTCTGATGGTTCCACATCTGCATTTGTATAAGACTAGCTACTGCTTTGGGCAAAGAGACGAGGCCAGGTTTGGTTTCTGCTTTTCAAAAAATGCTTTTCAAAAAATCCTTTTGGTGAACAATATCTTTCTTTCTTTCTGCCTTTTTAATATTTCCTTCTCTGGGCTAACTTCCCACAGTGGTAACTGAACTTTTTTTTCAGACTGGGAAAGCTGGTCAATATCTCGCTGTCACGCAAGTCCAAACTCCCGCAACGCTCAGTAAATTCCGTGGGAAAGAAAGCCGCTTCCTCCCGTCGCTCGCTCGCGGGGAGGAGAGGGTTAAGCAGAAAAACGCGCAAAAGAGCCTGCTTGATTTGTCCCTTTTCGGTTGCCGTGTCTTTGCTCATTGGTCAGCGCTACCGCAGTGGTGAGTGAGGAGGCCTGATAGGTTCTTCCGAGCCCAGCCCCATCCCGCCCATCTCTCACCCCTGCCCTGCCTTAAGATGGGCAAGCGCTCCTTCACTCGCGGCGGGTTCCCTCGAGCCTTTGATTGGATTTTCTCCCTGCCGGTCAGGCGCGGATCGTTTCCATTGGCTCACTCGCGTTCCATATGCCATAGCACCGCCCCCGCGCCGGCTAGGCTCGAAGGCGACTTCCGCGCGGAGCGATGGCGGCCGAGGCGAGAGGCGCGGCGGCCCGGGATGCGGCAGGTGCGGGGCCGACTGGAGGGGGGGGCGCGCCACGAAGGGGGGGGGAAGCTCCGGCAGGGAGGGGGCGCGGTCCCCCCTGCCCCGCGTGGGGGGGCGGCCTGCGGAACTCCCTGCCACTGGAAAGGCGGGGGATTGCTGGGAATGAACGGAGGAATGAATGGAGCTTCCCTCCCTGCAGAGAAGGCGCGGGGCAAGCAGGCGGCCCTCTCCTTCGCCGCCATGGCCGTCCTGGTGGGACTGCCCCTCTGGTGGAAGACGACCGAGACGTACCGGGCGGCGCTGCCCGACTCCGAGATCGCCGAGCTGGACGCGCTTCTGGTGAGACCCTCCCCCCCCATCATCCCCAGCCTTTTCGGTGGCTGTGGGCGGTGGGGGTTGTAGTCTAGGACCCCTGGGGCAGCTGGGCCAGATAGGCAGCTGTCAGCATCTGCACCCTGCGCAGCCAGCAACATCGCCCCCCCCCCAGGACTCCCGTCAAAAGATCAGGTGCGGGCAGTCCTCGACCTACAGCCACTCGTTTAGCGACGAGTTTTCACGGCACTGAAAGTGGCCTGTGAGGGAGGGGCGGAATTGAGGTAGGTCTTGTGTCCCTCCCCCTTTGCTCCTCCTGGCCTCTGCTGGGGAGCCCCTGGCTGCAAATATATGGGGGGGGGTCCCACCACTTTGACCCTTGAGGTTATGGCCACAGCAATAGGAGTTACAGGTGGTTCTCCAGTTATGGCCATATTTGGGATCAGATTTTCTGTGGCTAAGCAATGCAGCGGGTCGTGTCCAATTTTGAGATTTTTTTTGCCACGGTTAAGCCCAAGAATCAGAATAGTGCCGGAAGGGGCCTTGGAGGTCATCTAGTCCAACCCCCTGCTCAGGCAGGAAACCCTATACCATTTCAGACAAACGACTGTCCAGTCTCTTTTTTAAAACTTCCAGTGTTGGAGCATTCACAGCTTCTGGAGGCAGGTAGTTCCACCGATTAATTGTCCTCACTGTCAGGAAGTTTCTCCATAGTTCCAGGTTGTTTTTCTCCTTGATTAGTTCCCGTCTGCTGCTTCTTGTCCTGCCTTTGGCTGCTTTGGAAAATAAGCAAATAGCATGATTGTTAAGTGAATTCGGCTTTCCCCATCACCTCTCAGAAGCCAGCTTGGAAGGTCGCCAATCGTGACCCCATAACCCCAGGACACTGCAACCATCGTAAGTACATGCCAGTTGCCAAGCGTCCTCAGGACGCTGCATTGGTTATGAGTGCGAGGATTGGTGGTGAGTTATGTTTTAGTGCTATTGTAACTTCCAGTGATCACTAAGCAATTGGTTGTAAGTCAAGGACCGTCCATATTTCAAAAGGGCCGGGCAAACTGCCTGTGCCGGATGGAGCAGTCTGTGGATCTTGGTCAGGGGGTGAGGCCCAGCCAGCAGGAAAAGGTCAGAAGAAGGCCTTTGGGGGGCAATCCTTATTCTGGGGTGTCTTCTAGGGAAGCCAAAGAAAGGGGTCCTGGACTCACCCTTTCCAGCTGTTGCTTAGATGGAGAAAAGTGGACCGACCCCCCCCCCAATAAGCCATAGATGCTGAGACTCTAGAAAGAGTGCAGAGAAGAGCAACAAAGATGATCAGGGGACTGGAGGCTAAAGCACATGAGGAACGGTTGCTGGAATTGGGGATGTCTAGTTTAACGAAGAGAAGGACGAGGGGGGACATGATAGCAGTGTTCCAGTATCTCAAGGGCTGCCCCAAAGAAGAGGGAGTCAAGCTATTCTCCAAAGCGCCTGAAGGCAGGACAAGAAGCAACGGATGGAAACTGATCAAGGAGAGAAGCAACCTGGAACTAAGGAGAAACTTCCTGACAGTTAGAACAATTAACCCGTGGAACAACCTGCCTCCAGAAGCGGTGAATGCTCCAACACTGGAAGTTTTTAAGAAGAGACTGGACAACCATTTGTCCGAAAGGGTATAGGGTTTCCTGCCTGAGCAAGGGGTTGGACTAGATGACCTCCAAGGTCCCTTCCAACTTTATTATTATTATTATTATGGATCATTGCACAGTCAGCCAGATGTTCAGACTGGATTTGGCATTTTGTTTACCTATCGAGTCCTTACCCAGGACCTGGGATGATGATGATGATGATGATGATGATGATGATGATATTATTATTATTATTATTATTATTATTATTATTATTATTATTATTATTATTATTATTATTCCCTCTTGTATCTGAAATCACATTTCTAGTTTAAACTTACTTTCCTCAATGCTTAGATGGAGAAATGTGGACCGACGCCTCCCCCCCAAATAAACCACAGATCCCCTCTTGTGTCTGAAGCCACATTCCTAGTTTAAACCTACTTTTCTCAATCCGGAGCCCTCTGCACATCTTGGCTGGCAGCTCCCAGGATTCCCAGCGAGGACAGGGACCCCCTGACTTTTGGGTGGGGCTGTGTGTCTCCGGCTAACGGGGCGCTCTCTGATTCAGTTCCAGCTGACGGTGCCCGTCTCGGTGGTGTTTGCCAAAGGAGTCCTCCCGAAGGAGCAGGAGCGCAAGGTCCCCTTCGGGCAGGTGCAGGAGATGGAGATCCCCGTGAATGGTAAGGGGTCCTGGGTGAGGGGGTAGCGGGGGCATCCTGCTTCTAACCTGGGGCCGGCCTGGCACACAAGCACCCAGGCCGGCCTTTCAGCCAGAGCTGCAGAACTGAGCGACAGTTTGAGGCCAGACTCCCCGGTTCTCCCCCTGAATGGCTGGGCCATATGGGCTTTAAATTTGGGGTCAAGCATCCCAGAGAGAGAAAGAGAAAAAGAGAAAGAGAAAAATAAAAGGAGAAAAAAGGAGGAAGATAAAAAGAAAAGGAAAGACAGAAAATGTAACACTTTGCTGTTTCTGCATATTTCTTCTATGAACTATCTCCCTCCTTGTTGTCAGCTAAAAAAAAGGGGGGGGGAGAAGAAAGGGATGTACCTCTGGCAACTGGTTTATCTCCACCTTCGCAAGGGAAGGTGCAAAAAGCCGACAAAACATCACTGCAGCCCGGAGAAGGTCTGCTGTTATCTCCTTTTTCCCACAACGGACTTAACACCTGGGGATTGGCCCGTTTGAACTGTCCAGATGAACTATGGGGGTGGGGTTTTGCTTGGGACACTTTTAACCTATTGATCTGAGTGGGAAACCCTCAGATCCTGTCTATCATACCTGCTATCAGCTTCTCCTAATAAAAGTTCCTTTTGGAAGAAACCGCTTCCAGGAGTTCTGCTTTCTTGCGATGAAGTATTGAAGCGGGCCCTGACAGAAAGAAAGGAAAGAAAGAAAAGAGAAAGCAAAAGAAAGAACGAAAAAGAAAGAGAAAGAGAAGAGATAAATTGAAAGAAAAAGCAGACAGGTCAAGAGAGAAATAGAGAGAAAAAGAAAGGGGGAGAGAAAGAAAGACAAAAAGAAAAAAGAGAGAAAAAGAGAGATGGAAAGAAAGAAAAAGAGAGAGAGAGAGAGAGAGAGAGAGAAGGTCCCGAATAGATTACCAGCTTCCATCTCACCTGTGCTGCGTACAACTTTCTCTGCCAACGGAAAGGCAGCGCCAGTCAGCGTGGGCACCTATATCCAGGATGCCCTATAGGTGCAAGCAAAACAGTTTTCGTGACAGTGAAATGGACAGCATATTAAATAGTTGCTCCCACTGGCCTCTGCAGCCCCTGGCCCCCGTCTCGCCCTAGAGCAGGGGTGTCAAACTCAATTTCATTGAGGGCCGCATCAGCATTGCGGTTGCCCTTGGGGGGGGTGGGGGGCGGCCTACTGGGTGGGCGTAGATGGAGTGGGTGTGGCTTACTGGGTGGGCGTGGCCAGCTCTACATCTTTCGAGTCAAGGGTGCCTGTGGGGGCCTGGGCAGGAGTGGGACAGATCTGGGGGTCTCTGGCAGAAGGGGGTGGGACCGGGGCAAGCGCCAAGGCATGGTCCATTTCTTCATTCCTCACAAAGGGGGACCCCTCCCCAGCATGCACCCAGGGGACGGGACCGACGCGGCAGGGGCCGGTTCCTCGCTGTTTCCAGACGGCCTTGTGGAGCTAAGACTGAATGCCTTTCAGCATAGATGGCCACCACAAAATTGTACATTAGCTCCCGGCCGGCCTGGGCCAGGGCCAAGGCAGCGGGGGCCGTTCCCTCACTGTTTCCAGGATGGCTTCGCGGGCCACATGAAACCACTTCGCGGGCCCCCATCCGGCCCCCAGGCCTTGTGTTTGACATGTCTGCCCTAGAGACCCATATGGGGGGTCTTTGCCCCACCTGAGCAGCCTGCTCCCAGCTAGACGCAGCACCGTTCTTTTCCTTGGCCAGGTGTTTAGTCCTCCCCCCCCTTTTTTTTTCAGCCAAGACAGGTGTGATCGCTCGCTACGACCTTTCCTTTCGCCTCGCCACTTCCCCGGAGCAGGCCTTCCTGTCGCTGGCCTCCGTCCAAGGTAACGGCTGAGGGTGGGAGGGAATCCTGAGGTTCGGATGCAGGGGGGGGCTGTCTGGCTCCTACAGGACCCCCTCCAGGGAACGGAGCCAGCCTCTGGGCCGTGGGACCTGCTTCCCCAGAGCCCTCTGTGTGCCAGGGAAGGGGCCCTTAAGGGTGGGGGGTTCCCCTGGGTCTCTGAGCGTCACCCCCCTTTTCCTTCCAGAGGCAGACAAGGGGCTGCAGCCGGCGGAAGGCCTGCCAGTGGGCTCCCTCGCCATCTACGTGGTCCCCTCCAGCTCTCCTCTCCTGCCCCAGGTAGGCTGTCTGGCGCCCTCCCTGTCTGGGTAGCCTGTTTTGGGGTGAGGAGGGGTGGGGTGGGGTGGGCAAGGAGGTAGCTGAACATCTCCCATAGCCAGCAAGCGAGGCGGGGTGTGTGTGTAGAAGCAGGTTCAGACGGATGACAGGTGTCCCGCCTTGGCCTACTTTTAAGACCTGTGGACTTCAACTCCCAGCATTCCCCAGCCAGCAGTGCTTAAAGTGGGCAAGGTAGGAACAGCCCTGCTCTAGAGGTTGGGATTCCCGGCTCTGTTGCAGCTTCTGGGGGGGGGGGTCTGGAAAGACCCTGGAAGGGTGCCCTGTGGCTGAACTGGGCAATCCAATAAAAGTCTGGGAGGTAGGTTAGATATTCATTCATTCATTCATTCAATCATGTTTTGGCTTCTGGGGTATCTAGAAAGACCCTAGAACAGGGGCCCTCAACCTTGGCCACTTTAAGACTTGGGGACTTCAACTCCCAAAAGCTGGCTGAGGAATTCTGGGAGTTGAAGTCCCCAAGTCTTAAAGTGGCCAAGGTTGAGGACCCCTGCCCTAGAAAGATGCTCTGTGGCTTAATAGGGCAAACCAAAGTCTGGGAGATGACAGACAGACAGACAGACATTCAATTTACAGATGGTCCTCGACTTAAGAATCACAGCTGGAATTTCACTTCCTTTTTTTCTTTTTTCCAATTTTTTTTATTAACATTCTATTACATTTGATTAGTGCTTGATAAACATCGTGTCGTCTGGGTTAATTTGTTTGCTTAATGGCACAAGTTACGTTCTTTGTCTCTCCCCCATTTTTTCCCCAACCCTTGATAAAATACGGAATTTTCCCTTGGACTGGATGACCTCCAAGGTCCCTTCCAACTTTATTATTATTATTATTATTATTATTATTATTATTATTATTATTATTATTATTATTATTATTATTATTATTATTATTATTATTATTATTATTATTATTATTATTATTATTAATTTATTTTATTTTATTTTATTTTATTTTATTTTATTTTATTTTTTTACTTTTTTATTTTTATTTTTTATTATTTTTATTTTTATCATCATCATCATCATCATCATCATCATCATTATTATTATTATTATTATTTCTTTGGGCTAATAGCATTTCCTTCCGGCATTTCCTCAGGTAACTTTTGGAAAAAAGTGTGCGTGATTTCTAAACGGTTTCAACTGCGCTTTGGGCATCCTTCCCCGCCGTTTTTGCCAATTTTGCCAGAAAACCCCCAAACTGGCCAAAGGTGGGCCGGAGTTGGGCCGGTGCAGATTCCCCCTGGGAGGGTCAGTTGGTCAGTCGACCCCGTCCAGCCGGCTGAGGGCAGTGAGCCCGCCTGCATGTCTGTTTTCCTGCAGGGGACGGAGATGTACGTGGGGAAGCACCGGAGCGCCATCCTCAGGGCCCCCCCGGGGGCCAAGGACGTGCTGGGGGCCCTGACTGAGCGGCTGCAGCAGCTGATCCAGGCCGTGTCCTTCACCCCCGAGACCCTCGTGGAGGCCCTGGCCGACCGGGTCCCGCTGGGCCAGCCGGGGGCCGAGTGGAAGCGCCCCTTCAAGTCCAGCTTCGGTATGGCCAGACCCCGAAAGGGGAGGGGGGAGCCGAAGGAGAGGAGGCCAGCCCCCACCCCGTCCCCTGCAGCAATCTCTGCTTTCTCCTGAAGGGTTAAACACACACACACACACACACACACACACACAGACACTGTGGATGCCCTGCATTAAATGAAACAAAATTAAAATACAGGGAGTCTTCAATTTACAACCATAATTGAGGAGAAAACTTCTGTGGCTAAGTTGTTAAGTGAATTCTCATGTTTCCGGCCCTCCTCGCCCATCGCACACCAAGAAAACAGCTGGAGTTTTTTAACCGGAGACTGGACAGCCATTTGTCTGAAATGGTGCGGGGCTTCCTGCCTGAGCAGGGGGTTGGACTAGAGGACCTCCGAGGCCCCTTCCAACTCTCTTATTCTGTTACAGGTAGTCCTCAACTTACAGACCACAACGGAGCCAAAAGTTTCCGTCGTTAAGTGAGACACTTGTTAGGTGAGCTTTGCCCCATTTTACGACCTGCCACAGTAAGTGAATCACCTGCGGCCGTTGTTAGTAACCCGGTTGTTAAGTGGATCTGGCTTCCCCCATGATTTTTGCTGGTTGGAAGAGGGCAAAAAAGGACCACGACGTGACCCCGAGATGCTGCGACCGTCACAAATACGAGTCAGTCTGAATTTTGATCGCGTGACCGCGGGGATGCTGCAACGGTCATAAGTGTGGAAAACCGGTCATAATTCACTTTTTTCAATGCTGCTGTAAGTACGAATGGTCACTAAATGAACGGTTGTAAGTTGAGGACTGCCTGTATTCCATTATGAAGCTCAGGGGGGGTCCCGGGGGTCCCACCCTGTGCCAAGCCTCTGACCATGAGAGAGGGCAGACTACGTGCAGGACCCCAGCCCAAGCACACGCACGCATACACACACACACCCCCTGGTTGATGGCAACGCCTGACGCCAGCCGCACTCGCACAGACCAGCTGGTTGGCCAAGAATGTTGGCTTAAGCAGCGGTCAGCAAGGCCCAACATCTCCATCTTAGATAGTCCTCGATTTTTTACAGCCATTCTTTTACAGCAACAGATCGAAGTTCCCCCAGCACTGGAAATAAGTGACTTAGAACTGGTCCTCACACTTACGACCGTTGCGGCGTTCCCCACAGCCACGTGATCAGAATTTGGGCATGTGGCAACCAGTGTGGGTCTAAAAGGGTTGCAACCTGCTCGGGTCCTCTGGCTGCCCTTTGCCCCCCCTTCCTAACCAGCTCCCCCCACGAGCCGAGTCGGTGGCGGAAATCGGATTCGCTTAACGGCTGCGTGAGTCACTCATCGCTAGCTCTGATTTACTTAACTGTGGCAGAAAAGTTGCAAAATCGGGTGTGGCTCGCTTAACAGCTGCTTGTCTTAGCGACGGAAATTCTGCTCCCAGTGAGGGATATAAACGGAAGGCTACCCGCATGCGAATGCCCAATAATACAGGCCATCCTCGATTTATGACAGCTCATTTAGGGACCGTTCAACGTTACAACGGCAGTGAAAAACGTGACTTATGCTTGTTTTCCCACTTACGACCATTGCAGCCTCCCTGTGGTCACCTGGTCAGAATTCGGAGGCTTGGCAACTGACATGCACTTACGACAGCTACAATGTCCCGGGAGGGGGGTGTATCACGTGATCCCCTTTTGCAACCTTCTGACAAGCAAAGCCAGTGGGGAGAAGCCGGGTTCACTTAACAACCGTGTGACTAACCCAGAGGTAGGCGACCTTGGCTCTTTTATGACTGGTGGACTTCAACTCCCAGAATTCCTGAGCCAGCCATGCTGAGGGGAAAGGGAGAGGTTTCCCAGCTGAGCCAGGCTGGCTCAGGAATTCTGGGAGTTGAAGTCCAGAAGTCATGAGGGGGCCATAGTTCCCCACCCCTGGACTAACCTAACAGCTGCAGTGATTCGCTTAACAACGGTGGCAAGAAAGGTTGTAAACCGGGGCGGAACTCCCCTAACAAATGTCTCACTGAACAACAGAAATTTTGGGTTCAATTGTGGTCATACACCGAGGACTACCTGTAACAGAATTTGACAGATCTGGAAGGGGCCTCGGAGGTCCTCTAGTCCAACCTCCTGCTCAGGCAGGAAGCCGTGCACCATTTCAGACAAATGGCTGTCCAATCTCTGCTTAAAAAACCTCCGGGTGTTTTCTTGGTGCGCGACAGGCGAGGAGGGCTGGAAACAGGCCAGCTTGGAAGGGCAGCGCGTGCGAATCCTGCCACGCACGGAGACCTGATGTTGTCCTCGGAAGACCTGGCCTGATCCCGTCCTCACGGGGCCTTTCTCACCTGGCTGGGCAGTGGGACTTGCTTAGGAAAAGTGGTGGTGGGCCTGGGGAGACTCTTGACCCCCCCCACTCTCGTTTCCCCCCCCAGGCTACGAGATCACTTTCAGTTTGCTGAACCCGGACCCCAAAGCCCACGACGTGCACTGGGACATCGAGGGAGCCCTCCGGCGCTACGTGAAGCCCCTGCTGGAGAAGCTGAGCCCCCTGGCCGAATTTTCGGTGGACTCCCAAGTGGGTGAGGCCAGAGGCCGTGGGGTGGCGGGAGCCGGACCCCCTGCCAGGCCCAGGCTGATGGGCCCTCCTGTTTCTCCCCTGCCCAGATCCTTTACTACGCAGCGCTGGGAGTCACGCCCCGCTTTGACCCCGCCACCGCCAGCTACACCCTGAGCGTGCAGAGTCTCCCCCACGTCATTAACCCCGTGGAGGCCCGGCTGGGTAAGCAAGGATGATGCCATCTGGGTCGGGAGCTGGCTTAGGGGGGCTCCGATTGGGACCCCCGGTCTCAGGCAGGGGCCGACCTGGGGAAGTGGGTTGGTGGCTGCACTGCTGGATCAGAAAATAATTTATTGGTTCTAGTTTAATTAAAAATAGCAAGGACAGACGGAATGGAGGCCACCAGGAGATCTGGGGTGGAAGTTAGGCTGGGAAGGAAAGGTCTCTTGCCTCCGGTTGCCAAGAAGACTTCAGAGACGGGCCCGTCCTTCCTTCCTTCCTTCCTTCCTTCCTTCCTTCCTTCCTTCCTCCCTCCCTCCCTCCCTCCCTCCCTCCATCCATCCATCCAATTTCTATAGCCACCTATCTCAGCCAAGTCATTTTGCGTGGCTTACAATTCTAAAACTATAAAACAGTTAAACACAATTTTTTTAAAAAAATTGCTTCAAACTCAGCCCAGGCTTCTTCTTCATTGACTGGGTTGTGGGAGCCCATAAACCTGGGTCAATTCTATAAACCAGTGTTTCTCAACCTGGGCAAGTTTAAGATGGGTGGACTTCAACTCCCAGAATTCCCCAGCCTGTAAAGCTGGCTAGGAAATTCTGGGAGTTGAAGTCCATCCATCTTAAACTTGTCCGGGTTGAGAAACACTGCTATCAACTCAACTTGATTTAAACCTGGGTCACCATATTGTTTGAATGCAAACTCGTTTTTCAGGAGTCCAAATATCATGACTTTAATGACTGGACAACATTTCCCAGCATGGTGCTTTCCAGGCTGGGGATGATGGGGCTTCAGGAGTGCCCAGAGGCAGCCTTGATGCAAGAGAGGTGTGACCCTGAGCCACTTGGGCCATCTTGGGAAGGGTCAGCAGAGCAGAAACCCTTAGACCAGTATAGCTCAACTGTGGCAACTTTCAGAGGTCTAGCTTTCAAATCCCAGAATTCCCTAGTCAGCATAGCCTCTGACCGCCAGGGATGGAGAGACGGCTGCTGGGCATGTGCAGAGAGCCTTGCGGTCAAGCAAAGGTCTCAAGCGGTCCTGGCTCCTCGCAGGTAGACTGCCTCGCATGCTGGAGGCAGCCCAAGTGGCCGCTGGGATGGTTCCCCCTTTGCTTTTGAAAAACCCTCCAGCGCCATTTGTGCCAGTCCAGGGTTTGTTTAAACCTGGTTTATTGAATCAACCACAATGGCTTCCAGCAGGCCAGACCAGAGGCGTCCAATCTGGGCAACTTTGTGGACTTCAAAATAACAACAAAACAACAACAATAATAATAATAATCAATTTTGACTTTATATGCATTTGTCCTTAAGGCTTGGTCTTGTGCAGCCAGAATTAGTCCCTCGGTCTCTTTCTTCAATTTTCCTGCTCTTAGCCATTGCCAGGTCTTGTTATTATCTGCTTTCCCAGCTATTTTTTTTAATGTACTGGCCATGTAATAATAATAATAATAATAATAAAGTTGGAAGGGACCTTGGAGGTCATCTAGTCCAACCCCCTGCTCAGGCAGGAAACCCTATACCATTTCGGACAAAGGGCTGTCCAGTCTCTTCTTGAAAACTTCCAGTGTTGGAGCATTCACCGCTTCTGGAGGCAGGTTGTTAATAATAATAATAAGGGTGGAAGGGACCTTGGAGGTCATCTAGTCCAACCCCCTGCTCAGGCAGGAAACCCTATACCAGTGGTTCTCAACCTTTTTAATGCCGCGACCCCAACCGGTCGTAAGTCGAGGACTAAACCGGTCGTAAGTCGAGGACTAAACCGGTCGTAAGTCGAGGACTAAACCGGTCGTAAGTCGAGGACTTTCCCTGCCCGGGAGCGCCGCGCATGCGTGGTTCCGCCCCCTGCGCCGGCCGAGGCGTAGCTGGCAAGCGGCAGAGACGGAGCAGGCCGACCACCAGCTGGCCCAGCCCAAGGGAGGTAAGGCACCCGCCGGAAAAGGGGAAACAAAATGGCGGACAAAAAAAATGGTGGACAGCCTTGCTTGGCGACCCCCATGAAATGGTCGATCGACCCCAAATGGGGTCCCGACCCACAGGTTGAGAACCACTGCCCTATACCATTTCAGACAAATGGCTGTCCAGTCTCTTCTTAAAAATCTCCAGTGTTGGAGCATTCACCGCTTCTGGAGGCAGGTGGTTCCACTGGTTAATTGTTCTCACTGTCAGGAAATTTCTCCTTAGTTCCAGGTTGCTTCTCTCCTTGATGAGTTTCCATCCGTTGCTTCTTGTCTTTGCCCTCAGGCACTTTGGAGAATAGCTTGACTCCCTCTTCTTTGGGGCAGCCCCTGAGATACTGGAAGACTGCTATCCTGTCCTTCTCTTCATTAAACTAGCCACGCCCAGTATAGCCTAGCTAGCTGGGGAATTCTGGGAGTTGAAAGCCGGACGTTGAGGAAGGCTGCCCTAGAGACCCTCCCAGAGGAATGCCTGTCCCACTTGGGGCTTGAAGCCCCCCAGAGAGAAGAACCCCCTCCACCACTCCAGGGGGCTCTTCCTCCATTGGAATCCAGCTGTCCAACTGCCCTGGCCGCCCTTTCTGCCCTCGGGCACCGCAGAGAACGGACCCACCTGCCTGGCACAGGTGAGCCCAACCCGCCGGCCTTCCTTTGCAGGGTCCAGCGCTGCTTCGCTCTATCCGGTCCTCAACTTCCTCCTCTACGTCCCCGAGCGGCTGCATTCGCCCCTCTACATCCGGGGCAAGGAGGGGGCCGCGGTGCCCACCAACGCCTTCCACAGTCCCCGCTGGGGAGGGATCATGGTGAGGAGCGTGGCGGCTTTGTGGCACGTTGCCTGCCAGAATTAGGGGGGGGGGGTTGGACCGGGTTTCTGCCCCGGCAAAGGGCAACCGAGAGGGGGCCCCTTTCGTGGCCCCTGGGGGCCGCAGACTCTGCTTCCCTGCTCTAAGCGGCTGCCCCCCTTTGCCAGGTCTACAATCTTGAGCCTGGCGCTGCCAACGAGACCTCCTTGCCCAGGAGGGTGGAGGTGGACATGGTGCGCACGATGGAGGTCTTCCTGGCCCAGCTGCGGTGAGCACAGCGAGGGGGGGTTTGGGGTGGGGTGGGGGGCTGTCTTGGTTAAACTCTCCGTCCAGGCAGGAGGAGGTTTCCTAAAGCACTCCCCTCTCCCCTTGGTTTAATGCAGTCAGAGGGGGCCCAAGAGGTCATCTAGTCCAACCCTGTCTCTGCTTAAAGACTGAACAGGGATGAATCCTCCTCATCTCTAGTTCTGGCTTTGTGGGGGTTGGTTCCCCCCCTCCTCAGATAGAGGTCTGTCATTCCACTGGGGCAGGGTTGGGGAACCTTGGCTTTTTTAGGATTTGTGGATTTCAAATCCCAGAATTCCTGAGCCATCCATGCTGGCTGAGGAATTCTGGGAGTTGAAGTCCACAAGGCATGAAGGGGCCGTTGTTCCTCCATGCTGGCTGAGGAATTCTGGGAGTTGAAGTCCACGAGTCATGAGGGGGCCATAGTTCCCCCATGCTGGCTCAGGAATTCTGGGAGTTGAAGTCCACGAGTCATAAAAGAGCCAAGGCTGCCTACCCCTGCACCTACTGGCTTGCATGGAGGGCCCAGGGTTATTGCTATGGGTCTGCCCCCCCTCCCCACATCAGCTTTTCCAACAGCTCCCCAGGGGAACCTCTCGCCACCTGACTGCTGGCCGGTTCTGCCACTGCCATAATGCAGCCGGGCTCTGCTGCCCCGCTGGGGGTTCCCTGCCCCCCCAGGCCTTCTCCCCCAAAGCTCTGGGGGCACAGCGGCCCGAATTCAGCCACCTCCTGATGCTTTGCTTGCCCCCTCCCCAGATTACTGTTCGGCATCTCCTCCGGCCCACTGCCAGGAGGGGCTTTGCTGGAGACCCCCGGGAACGAGGGCCTGACGGACTGGGAGCTGGACCGCCTGCTGTGGACCCGCACGGTGGAAAACGTGGCCACCGTCTCCACCACGCTGACCTCGCTGGCTCAGCTTCTGGACAAGATCAGCAACATTGTCATCAAGGACGACGTGGCCTCTGAGGTACAGGGGCGGGCACTTGGGGGGTCAGTGGGGACCTTCCAGGGGTGGGGTTCAGGGGTCACAGCCCTCCTCAGTGCCTTGCCCTCCCCCGCCAGGTCTACCACGCCGTGGAGTCTGCCCGGCAGGCGATGACGGAGCTCAGCCTGGGTCACCTGGACTCGGCGTTCCAGGCCAGCAAGGCTGCGGCCACCTCCTCTGAGCGGGCCTTCTTCGACCCCTCCCTCCTGCACCTGCTCTACTTTCCCGACGACCAGAAGTTCGCCATCTACATCCCGCTCTTCCTGCCCATGGCCGTGCCCATCCTGCTCTCGCTGATGAAGATGGCTTGGGAGAGGAAGCAGCGCCAGAAGGAGTCCGCCAAGATGGACTGAGGGGGCTTCTGGACACCCAGGCAGGGGGCGGACTCTTGGCCGGGCAGCTGCCCCTAACGGTGGTAGGTCCGGCCAGCACGACGGACTCCCCGTTGAGGAGAGGAGCTGCCGTTTCCACTTGGCTCCTCCTTCAAAAGAGCACGTCCCTTTCGCTGCGAACGAGCCCAAAGGACTTCGGAAGCTCTCCTGATGGCTGGCCAGGCTGGACGACTGGGGGATCGCTGCACGGTGTGTGTGTGTGTGTGTCCCTTTCAAAATCTGCCCAGCTGATGCAGTGAGGTCTCTTGGAGGGCACAGTTCTTCTCCTCCCCCCCAAGCCCCCAAAACCAGAATGGTCCCCCCTTTGCCTCCCAAACAAGTGTCGGATCGATCTTCCATTAAAGTCTGGTTGGCTGACCGGTGGAAGCTCTGAGCCTCTTTTGCAGCTCACCTGTGTTTTTTTGGGGGGGGGGGCAGCCAGTGAGGAGGGGGTCCAGAGGCTGCTTGCAAACAAGGAAAGCCAAAAGCAGGTTTGTTTGTTTGTTTGTTTGTTAAATTTCTGTGCTGCCCAGCTCACCAAGGACGGCTTACAATATGAAAAGTAAAAATGGGCTAGGTTGGGTAGGCAACCTTGGCTCTTTTATGACTGGTGGACTTCAACTCCCAGAATTCCTGAGCCAGCATGGGGGAACTATGGACCCTTCATGACTGGTGGACTTCAACTCCCAGAATTCCTGAGCCAGCATGGGGGAACTATGGACCCTTCATGACTGGTGGACTTCAACTCCCAGAATTCCTGAGCCAGCATGGGGGAACTATGGACCCTTCATGACTGGTGGACTTCAACTCCCAGAATTCCTGAGCCAGCATGGGGGAACTATGGCCCCTTCATGACTTGTGAATTTCAACTCCCAGAATTCCTGAGCCAGCCTGGCTCAGCTTGGAAACCTCTCCCTTTCCCTTCAGCAAGGCTGGCTCAGGAATTCTGGGAGTTGAAGTCCACCAGTCATAAAAGAGCCAAGGTTGCCTACCCCTGGCCTAGGTCTTAAGTCACCAAGGAGATTCTAGCCTTGGGTCTCAAAGCTTGGCAACTTTAAAGCCTACGGACAGTTTGATTGATTGATTGATTGGCATCTCGCATTTATTATTTTTACAAATAACTCAAGGCAGCGAACCTATCCAATATACCTTCCTCGTCCTCTTTTCCCGACAACCACAACCCTTTGAGGTGAATTGGGCTGAGAGAGACGGACGGGTCCAAAGTCACCCAGCCGGCTTTCATGCATAAAGGACTAGAACTCACCGTCTCCTGGTGATTGGCCCAAAATCATCCAGGCAGCTTTCACACCTAAGGCAGGACTAGAACTCACCGTCTCCTGGTGAGTGGCCCAAAGTCACCCAGCCGGCTTCCATGGCTAAGGCGGGACTAGAACTCACCATCTAGTGATTGGCGACTAGAACTCATCGTCTCCTGTTGATTGGCCCAAAGTCACCCAGCTGCTTTCATGCCTAAGGCGGGACTAGAATTCACCATCTAGTGATTGGCCCAAAATCATCCAGCCGGCTTTCGTGCCTAAAGGTGGGACTAGAACTCACCATCTCCTGGTGATTGAGCCAAAGTCAACCAGCTGCTTTCATGCCTAAAGGCGGGACTAGAACTCACCACCTCCTGGTGATTGGCCCAAAGTCACCCAGCTGGCTTTCGTGCCTAAGGCGGGACTAGAACTCACCACCTGATGATTGGCCCAAAGTCACCCAGCTGCTTTCATGCCTAAAGGCGGGATTAGAACTCACCGTCTCCTGGTGTCTTAACCATTAGACCCAATTGGCTCTCTTACAGTTAACCTTGGGAAAATGAGATTTAGTCATCCTGTATAAATTTAAACATTCATGGAAAAATTATAGGGCTTCCATCTCCTAACCCTCTCATAAAACAGCATCGCAGACGGACCTCGCCTGACCTCGCACCCAAATCCCTGGGAAACAGCCAGGACACAGATTGGGGGCACCTCAATCTCTTGGCGATGGGTGTTCCAGCGGGCAGGTGCTGCCCCAGGGGAGAAGACCCCGGGGTCCCACTGAGTGGCGTGTTTGGATGGAAGGGGCCCAGGGCAGGCCCTCCCGGCGAGAACTGCGGAGCGATGGTGGTGCTGCCCCCAAACCGCTTGACCCCCTGCCCCACTGGGCTTCCCGCGTGCAACTGGCAGCCGGAAGCCTTTTCCGCAGTTGGCGGTTCTTCGCAAAGACGGTCCCACCTACAGCACCTTCGAGTAATCCAGATCTCGAATGGCGCATCTGCAAACTGAGATTTACAGTGTACAACGTGGGACTCCAACCTCGGCCGCTTTAAGGCCTGTGGACTTCAACTCCCAGAATTCCCCAGCCAGCAGAGCTGGCTGGGGAATTCTGGGAATTGAAGTCCACAGGTCTTAAAAGATTGGCTACCTGTGGTCTAGTGCAGTGGTTCTCAACCTGTGGGTCAGGACCCCATTTGGGGTCGATCGACCATTTCATGGGGGTCGCCAAGCAAGGCTGTCCGCCATTTTTTTTGTCCGCCATTTTTTTTGTCCACCATTTTTTTTGTCAGCCATTTTTTCCCCCTTTTCCGGCGGGTGCCTTGCCTCCCTTGGGCTGGGCCAGCTGGTGGTCGGCCTGCTCCGTCTCTGCCGCTTGCCAGCTACGCCTCGGCCGGCGCAGGGGGCGGAACCACACATGCGCGGCGCTCCCGGGCAGGGAAAGTCCTCGACTTACGACCGGTTGGGTAGTCCTTGACTTACGACCGGTTTAGTCCTCGACTTACGACCGGTCTAGTCCTCGACTTACGACCGGTTGGGGTCGCGGCATTAAAAAGGTTGAGAACCACTGGTGTAGAACGTGGGAATCCAACCTNGGGGGGGGGGAGTAGGGGGTCTCCGGGCCGCCTCCCGCGCCCAGCCAGGATGGGGGGACCCCGGCTGCGCTGCGCCTGGGCGCTTTTGACGCAGGGCGCGCGGAGTCGGGGGTCCCCCTGGTCCTGCTTCCCCCTCGCCCCCCCCATGTCCGCTGGTCCCCAGTCCCGGGCTGGGGGTGTCCCCGGTGGGCTTGGACCCCCCCCCCGCCAGCCCGTGGCCGGAGCCAGAAGTTGCGCCCGAGGGAGGGAGCGGAGGGGGTAGCTGGCACCCCGCAGGTGGGCCGAGCTGGGCTGAAGCCTCCTGGCCGGCTCCGGAGGGCGACCGGGGCACCTTGCCCGGAAGATGATGCTCCTGTGAACCGGGGCGCTTTGGGGGTCTCCAAGCTGCTACTTTGGAGACGCCGGGCCGGTTTCCCTGGCGAGTCCGGACAGAGGCTGGCCCGAAAGAGGCGAGCCCCTGCCTTGCCCCCCCACCCCCCCAACCAGGCTTCTTCTTTCCAAGTGCTCTTCCACCGCCTTCACCCCTGGCTAAGCGCCTTAGTCGTCTTAACCAGGATTAAAGCTGTGGTTCGGGCTTTGTGTGAACTCTTTGGGTTGGGTCAAGGCGGCCCAGGGGACAGCCCCCCCCCTGCAATGCCTGCCAAGACTGACCCAGTTTCAGAAAGGGAGCATCCACGGGGGGGGGGAACATCTCCCCCATCACACACACCCCCCACAAACACCCGGGATTCTACCTCCGGAAAGGCTGCTCTAGCTTGGGGGGGGGGCAGCTTTAGGGAGCAAAGTTGTTGCTACCCCTGCTTTAGAGACCTATCCTTCCCGGAGGCTGGCAGCTCTGCCCTCCGAGCCCTGGCATGGCCCTGGCTTAAGCTCCCACCCCACCCCTTGCTGCTGCTGCTGCCCCTGAAGCAGCAGGTGCCCCTCCCCTCGTGGCTTTCCTGTGCCTTGAGGTCAGTCTGATCAGGCAAGATTACTGGGGGGGGGGGGCTGGATCAAAAGGAAAGGGGGCAGAAAGCAAAAGAGCATCTTATTTACTGGCCATCCTGACAGATCTCGGCAAACGCTTAATCCTGCCTGGCTGCAACGGCCTTCCAGAAGATACCAGAACAGCCCTAGTCTCCAAGGACACCCCGTGGGCACCGGGGTGCAGCAGGTGGCCCCCAAATTAAGCAGGCTTGGAAACTTCATGGGGGTCCCTGGATGTTTGGCTGCGTAGTTTATCCTAAGAGTATTTTTCAACCTTGGCAGCTTTTAAAATGCGTGGACTTCAACTCCCAGAATTCCCCAGCCAGCTAGGCTGGCTGGGGAATTCTGGGAGTTGAAGTCCACGCATCTTAAAAGCTGCCAAGGTTGAGAAACATTACAATAATTGTGGGGAGAAGCTGACACGCTCCGTCAGAGGAAAGAGGGAAGCCTGCGTGATGCACCCTGGCAGGAATTCTCACCTGCCACTTAAAATCAGAATATATATTTTTTTTCTTGCTTCATTCTGTGCAAGCAGCAATCTCCGTCCTTGGCTTCCTCTTCTCCTGGGGGGGGGGGGAAGGAAATGACGTCACCTGTTCTGCTCTGACACACACAGATGACAGTTTGTGTCCTTTACTTGAGGTCCCCATGCAGGCAGCGACACGGGTAGTCCTCTGCTTATGGCCACCGTGGTGCCCAAAGTTTATGTCGCTAAGCGAGAACGTTTTGTTAAATTTGGCTCCTTTTCATGACTTTTCTTCCCTCGGTTGTTAAACGAATCGCTGCAGTTGTTAAAGTTAGCCACGTGGTTGTTAAGTGAATCCGGCTTCCCCATTGACTTTGCTTGTCAGAAGGGGCACCACCTGGGACACTGCGACCGTCATAAACACGAGTCAGTTGCCAAGCGTCCGAATTTTGACCGTTGGGTCGTAAGTGTGAAAAAACGGTCGTAAGTCACTGTTTTCACTGCCTTTGAACGGTCCTTAAATGAACTGATGTACGTTGAGGACTACCTGTACAGGTGGGCCTGCTAGGGACAGCCAAAGGGCTGGATGTGGCCCGGGGGGGGGGGGCGTGTAAAATGCCCAGGTCTGCTGTAGAAGCAAGCCGGGATGTGTGAATTGAAAAGATGGCTTGTTGGTAGTGCACAAATCCTGGCATGCAAGGATGCTGGAGCTTAGCTAACGCCTGGCCTGGTTCCTGGGTGGGTCGGTAGATGGGCAACCAAACCTGGTGCCCCCTGCATTTCTGGAAGGGCTGGTGGCACTGAGGCCACTCCTGCTACCCCCGCCCGTCCATTTTTCCTTGACCGATTAGCTGTCTATTTGTAGCTCTTATCCTTGTCTCTGAGCTGGGCTAATGGACTTATCCTACCCAAATCCCCTTGAGGTAGGGCGTAATC